AGATAGAAACCCACAATAGTGCTTTATGAAATGTATCGTCAGTGTACTCAGAAGTCCTTTAGTTTCAGGGCCGTAGAAAGCAATGTTGGGTAAGAAGGCATTCACACCAAATCAGGCACTGCTGCAAAATGCATGGTTTTCCCATTCATTGTAATGTTGGTAGTGCGTTTAGGTTGCGGAAATAGGGCCACAAAAAAAATACTTAAGCATCAACGAGAGCTGTATAACCCTGACAAAAGATGTAAATAGCTTAGCAGTCGTTTGGCATTACATTTCACCTTTTAACGACGCCACTATGCAAATCACCAAAAACACCCAATATTTGATAACATAGGCACTCTTTCCGCAACCCAACAAGGCCCAAATCAGCTCAGCTCATGCTACGCCACATGGATTAAAAAAGAAAACAACTTGCCTATGTATAAGATATACATTTGGAGATGTAGAAAAACTGTCTAGAAAAAAACCCAGTTGTCAGAAGGAGAACGTTGGAAGCGTGTTTCGGCTGCGGAAATAGGGGCGTTTCACATTAAATGTCACCATTGGTCGGCCAATTGTGGTCCATTTGTGGCCAATTAAGTAACCCTCCCGTTCTCATCGTCAAAAACGCCCGATTTGGTGTGAATGCAGCCTAAACCCAAAGATATGATCAAGTTTCATGCTTTCTGTTATTTTCCCAACCCTACAAGGCCCAGCTCATGTTACGCCACATGGCTTCAGAGATACAACTTGCCTATTTAGATACACATTGGGGGATGTACAATGGCTAGAAACCCCCCCCAGTTGTCAGAAGAAGAACCCACACAGAGAAGCACGAGGTGAGGAAGTGATATCACTGAGCCTGAGTGACTTGGTTTCGATGGCTGTGAGACGAGGTGGGGGGGGGGGAGCAGTGTTTGGACACAGTTCTCAGTCAGCAGTGGCAGCCCTTTTCGGCGACCGCTGCCGGTACGTCGTCGTCGTCGGACGGGTAGAGCACCTTGGCGGTGAGGCCGCTCTTCACCCCGTCCCAGCCGTCGCGGGTGACGATCTCGCCCATGTTCATCAGCTCGTAGATGTCTCTGGTCAGCAGCTCGAAGGCGCGGTCCACGTTGCTGTTGCACTTGGCCGAAGTCTCCACGTAGCGGATGCCCATCTCGGCCGCCAGCTGCTCCGCCTCGTCCCGGCTCACCTTGCGGTCCTTGCTGAGGTCGCTCTTGTGGCCGATGAGGATGTAGACCATGTGGTGCGGCAGGATGTGCTCACTCACCTCCTTATGCCACTCCCTCACATGCTCGAAGGTCTTGTGGTTGCTCAGATCAAAGACGAGTAGCCCGCCGACAGAGTTACGGTAGTACGATGTTGTGATGGACCTGGTGGGAACATAAGATGAAGACATGTTAGAAATTGTAGGCAGAATTATGTTGATGTTCTTTTTAAAAAGTCTAATCTGTTGGTTGATTTGATTATTCCTAGCCCTGATCGAACCGAACTCCATTCAGAAAACAAGCATTTTAGAAGTTGTTTGTGTGTTGTCCTGCGGACAGTCTTAAGAGATAAAAGAAAAACCCAATTTAGGACTTAATCGGGAGATAAGTCCAAGGGTGTTTCTCAATGTTGAGGAAAGCTGCTCCAGAGCCACTATTTCAAGGATGCTACGTCATCGAGTCCCGCCGAAGGACTGTCCCAATGTCCAGCATACTTGGAATTCTACCGAGGCCGGCGTCCTTCGTTGCGGGAAATTTCGAGGCTGCACATGTGTATCCTCCACGGTCTTAAAATCCCCACAATGCTTTGCGCACGGACCAATTTCCAAATCTTTGGCGGAAATCGCGCTCCATTTTAAGGCGGGGCCTCGCATATGACGCACACCTGCACACCTGTTAGCCTGTTCTACCATTCTTCATTTTCCGAGGCTAGGAAGGATTCTTGCATCGCTTCTGAAGGACCTGACTCGGAAGGACTTGTCCTACCAAGGAAGCGTCCTCGACATTGAGAAACACCCCAAGTCAGCTAGTCCCGAATTTGTCAAGTTAGCTTAATGTGAAGTCACACGTCAATAGTGTTATGTACAAGTCAAATCTGAGGGCTTGTCAAAGTATGAAGTCTTTGGTGAAGTCTCAAAATATATAAAAAAGTACAATTCTAAAAGTGAGTCATGTCAAGTCTCCAGTCAGTTTATTTTTCTGAGGTCAATTCTTTCCCACGTCTAGAGCTCTGATTAATCCTTTATTCCTTTTCACCTTACTTACAGTAACCAGACGTTAATCTAAATTACCAATTGCCAGGATTATAGGATTTTCCACTCCTCTTCAACATATGTGTCCCCATTGAAAAGTACTTGTAGTTATTGTGCATTGTCTATGTTTTCTGTTTGTATCCTGTAGCTAAGCACCCATCAAGTAATGTGCATATCTCATTATATTTTGCCCAGCACCCAAAAAAACAGCGGGTTTTTTAACCAATGCCCTCCTGATCCGAAGACCAGCACACTGACACACTGAGCTGCCTCCCTCTTCATGTATGCACATAATGATTAAATAATAAAGGAATTAAAGACCTCTCCAAGACAGGGATTCAAAATGTGGACATTGCCTTGCTGGAAATGCACGAGCGTTTTCATTTCAGCTGAATGTAATTTAAGTTAATCAATTGACCACAACCCAGACAGTAAACATGGGATCCTTGGGGAACCTACATGCCCTCCCCCTCTCTTGAGGCCAGTCTCGCAAAGATCCCTTTAAATCCATGTTTCTGTACATGGAGGTTTTTAAAAAAATTGCACAAACACTTCACACAGACAGAAATGAAAGTGTGGTGAAGCCTGAAGGAAAACACCCTCTGAAGGTTTGCCTTCAAAAGAGAAATCAGATCTAAGAGCGGAGCTGCCTTTGCACACTGAGAAATCATTTCAAATAAATTATCCGTGACAGCAAGCACACATGAAACAGAACAGCAACAGGGCCGAGGAAGGCAAAATAAAACAACTAGATTTGAGCATTTGGGTTGCACTGAACTGTGGAGTCAGGGAATCAAACATGGGGCCTATATGTGAGGAGGCTGCCAATCATCCATGAACAAATGCAATGATGCGACTCGATTTTTATATAGGCCATCATAAGACCGAGGCATGACTCATCTTCCCCTGACCCTTTTTTACCTCTTTATTGCATCACACTGAAAGAGGAGAATCGCATTTATTGTAATTTAATTCAATTGTGTATCTTACAATAGCAGCCACAGCGAACCAATGAGGCCTCTGCATTATTTAACCACAAATCTGCTCGGTGCATAATCATCCTTATACATGCATTTTATATAAATGTATTTCTGTTTGTTCGTACCTGAATCGCTCCTGTCCAGCCGTGTCCCAGAGCTGCAGCTTGATTTTCACCCCGGGCTCGATATCAAGCGATCGGGCATAGAAATCTACCCCCACGGTGGGATCCGCCACATCACTGTAGATCCCGTCCGAGAAGCGTTTCAGCAACGACGATTTCCCAACCGTGGAATCTCCGAGTAAAATTATCCTGAATTGGTATTGCCACAAAATATCCATGGCATGACTATAATACGGGGGGATGTGTGTGTGATGTGTGTGTGAAACAAAGCCCTGTGCGCGCGGCGTGTTTACATGAAGCTGCTCTGCTGCCCAGGAAGAGACGCAGCAATCATGTGACAGGTTTACCTACAGCACCACTAGAAACCTCCTGCATCCCTCAATTGTACTGGGTTATAAAAGAGAACATCTCTGGAGCGATTTTAAACTGTGAGAAAATATAATTCAGGTTGTCCCAGACGCATGTAAAGCTGTTATTTAGCCATAACAAGGAATGCTTAATTGTGTGTGCCTTGGTGTTAATGGTGCATACATAAACACAGAACAAATACAGTGTAAGAAAAACAACCAAACCAAATACAAACTATTATAACACTGATATAAAGAGAAATATTTGCATGAAATATGGGTATACCAGAAAACTACGTCCAGCTGTGCAGATATTAAACCACGTATATTTAAATGTGCAACATATCGCTATCAATCAGGCTTTGTGTACATTGTGTTAAAGTCCAGCTGATTATAATTATATTTAAAAACAAACCATGAATTTTCATCATAGCCATGTCATATTTCGCAACTGTCTATTTAGAGAATGACACTGCGCTGTGATCTGAAAACAACAAGAGCTGTCCGTGGTTCTGAAGTAGGTTAGAGAGGATATAACCGGATGTGGGGTTTATTTCTATCTTTACACACTTCTTTCATCTTCGTGAAACAGATATATGTTTAATATATCATTAAAAATAAAACCTCTCTTTATGTGGTTACTTATTACTGTTTCAAATTGACAATAAATCCAAAGAACGGCAAGGATTCCTCTGAAATGCTAATAAAATACAAATCCCATGATGCAACGCTTTCAATGTGAGCTGTGTGAACCAATCAGCGAGCTGCTCACTACAACTCGACTTTAGCGAATATTTTTTCTCTATTCACAATATATTCACTTTCTTCTTATAGTGAAACAAATATGTGTTGAATACAATTATAAAATCTGTCATTAGGTTGGTATTAACGTGTTGAGGTGAAAATAAATCCAGACGATAGCAAGGGTTCCGCTCAAAATGCTTATAAAAACACATATCCCATCATGCAGCGGGGTCCATGTGACCTGTGTGAACCAATCAGCGAGCAGCTCACTACAACTCGACTTTAGCGTATATTTTGTTCTATATTCATTCTATATTCACTTTCTTGTCATTGTAAAACAAATACATGTTCGGCGAAATCTTAAAATAGTTATTTGTGTTGGTTTTAATCAGGTTTTAATGTGTAAATATAAATGAGAAAAGAAAGAAAACTTACCGCTCAAATGCTTGTAAAAAAACACATCCCATCATGCAGCAGGGGCCATGTGAGCTGCATGGACCAATCAGCGTGCTGATGCTTGGTCCATGTGATCTGCATGGACCAATCAGCGTTCTGCTGCTCGGGCTCCAGCTTATATAAACTCACTGGACCCTCCCTTCAATCTCTTTCCGCTTCAAGCCTTCCGAACAGGAGGAAGTTCATCTCACTACTCCGGTAAGCTAAATATATTCTTATGTAATGTCACAGAAGTGTGTATTTGCTACCTTTAGCTTATAGTGAACTGAAAATAAGTATTTTATCATGATCATTTCGGTGTGACATGTGCTCAAACCAACGAGCTAAAGTTAAAAATGTGTGTAGCTTATGTAGCTCACTAACTTATCACGTGGTTCAGTTAGCTTTCGTTAATAGCTATACTGGCATGTTAATGTAGATTTGTTTTTATCAGACATTGGGCTGCCTTATTTTGTAATTAAACACCTGAAGATATGATGATGATGCTAGGGTATAATATCTAAGCTTAAGGTTAGCTTAACGCTAACACATGTGAACCACGTGTCAATGTAACTTTTTTTATTTTATATGCTTTCTGTATTTTGATTTTCTCCCGTAATTCAACACACTGCTTGAAATTAATTACATGTATGTAGATGGTGCATTGTGTCCTCTTGACAACATATGCTTTACCGTTTGAAATAATTAAATGAGCTTAAACGTAGTTTAGTACCTTTTTTTTTTTTTTTTTTTTTTTTTTTTTTTTTTTTTTTTATAAAAAAAAAAAAATTATTTATAGTATTATTACCCTTTACAGCACAGAGCATGCACTGACTTTCTCATCTGTCAGTGAAAAAACAAAACTCTTAAAGTTCTTTTCAACTTTCCCTTAAGGTACTTGTCGACTATCGGTCTCATGCCGGTATTTAGCCTTAGATGGAGTTTACCACCCGAAATAGGAGCTCTACCACCTGGGCTCTGCAACCATGGATGTCTGCACAGAAAGCAGGTATGTTTTTATTCCTGTCTAGACTAAATGGTATACATCAGGCTCCTATCGAAGCCGTTCAGGCTCTACTGTAGCTTAGAGCGGTCAACTGGATGCCGAGAAGAAGACTTCCACCGACGGTCGCTGATCAGTTTAAATATTAACTGTTTCAGCAACATTAAGGGGAAGGACATTTGGGGCAAAATCATAAGCTTTATGTGTTTAAAATCTCTTCTGTGCTAATTGCTGTGCTCCATCTTTCTGCAGGTCTTTAGTAACATTGAAGATGAAAAGGCAAAACATGAAGAAGTCGCATGCATGTACTTTCTGAGTTATATTTCAAATATAAAAAGTGGTGGTGGCTCTGGCTGAATATCGACTCTGCGCTGCAAGATGGCCCAAGTGGCCCCAGCTTTAATCTGAGAAGTGGTGAGTTAAAGTGCAATGTGTTCACTGTATATAAATTACTCTAGGACCAATGATGTTTTTACCAAATCTGTCAATCCCCTGAATCTCTGTGTTGATACTTCCGGTCCTGATGGTCCCCCTGAGTATTCCATTTCTCATGGTACCTCCCCCAAAGCTCTGTTGGTCATTGAGCCTAATGTCCTTTTCTTCTTCAGGTTGGAGCTCGTCTGATCTCCCATGCCGGAGAGGGCTAAGGTCTCCTCCAGAGTGATCCCTCTCCCTCAATGCACCCCCACAGTCTGAGGTAGAACATCCGAGTTATATTTCAACTATAAAAAGTGGCTGTGATGACAAACTTGCCCTCACTGATTAGATCTGATTGAGACAACTTAGATAACTGAGCCACACTAAGGGAAGGACCCTTCAGACTGAATCAAAGTTAATGCATTTCTGCTCTAATTGCTGTCTCTCTTTCTTCAGGTGTTGGTTAACGCTGATGCAGAGAGAAATAATATGAGTAAATCACCTGCAGGTATGTTTTTAAACTACACCTTAAATATGGATTATTTTTGGCTGTGATGACAAACTTGCCCTCACTGATTAGATCTGATTGAGACAACTTAGATAACTGAGCCACTTTTGCTAACAACTAAGCCACTTTAAATAAAAGGTGTTTCAAACTCACAGTTTCTTTATCTTTCTTAAGGTGACCATGATGGCTGAGCACTAGGCACTGATCCTGATGCTGCCGTGACTTCATGAGGATGTCTCACTTCAAGGTAATTTCAAATATCTTGTATAAAATGATTTATTCACAGCATGCTATCCTAAGGACCGGGGCTTGTCTGTAGCTCTAGGGTTCTCCAAGTGCATGCCAGATAAAAGGTCGGTCTTTGACTGTTCTGGCCTCTTATGCCATCAGCAGCCACTCAACTGTCCAACAGATCCTCACGTCATTATGCAGAAATGCGTACTGTGCAACAACAGTTCATTATTTTAATGCTGTTCTCTTCCTGCAGGCATCAATCTGCCCATGAGATCTAATCCGATGTCCTTGGGATGCAGAGGCTCCATGTAACCTGAGGTATTTAAGGAGATTTGTCTGCATCATTTCATAAATTCCTGATCTATGATGAATTTAAAACAAGAGGACTGTTGGATGAAACTCGCGGATATGGGACTGAGATCAGCTCTTAAATAATGACCTTAGAAAAAGTGTGTTTGAATTTCACTAAATGTAGTTTCTTTGTATTCTCAGGTGCAGTGCGTTGAAGGCAACAGGAAGATGGTGAAGGAGGACAGGAGGATGTAAAGCTCTGAGTCGTAGCGACTGGACAAAGTGCTATACGAGTACCGTCAGAGTTCTCTAAAGGATTTCTTACAAACTGTTCAGCTGAACGGTTTTTCTCCGAAACAATTGTTGAAATAAACATCTTACACAGAACAATTTTGAGAATCCCTTTATTGATATTCTTGTATTTACACATGTGAAGGACATTTAGAGTTTGTGATGAATATGTTTCACAACACTTATGGTGCAACAAGCATTGGATGCTTAGTTCACCAAGTTAATACATAACATTAAAAATGATAAAATACTTCCAGACACAGCACATACTGAGGGCTTGTTTTTAATGACTACAAGCCCTCAGTATGTAGGTCTCCCTTGAAAAAGAGATCATCTCAATGGGACCAATCTGGTTTAAAAAAAAGTTTGAAATGAATGAAAAATTCATGGGTTATTTTGAAAAATTTGGTAGAAATGGTCCTTTATATCCCACTATCATGTCTAGCTTACATATCAAACTGAAGCACAGGTAACCTGTTTCAGATGTCAGTAATGTGGTCTTTGACTAATACTAAACTTAAAGAGTGATTTCCTGCTACTTTGTCACTGCAATGCCAAATAGTTTTAAATACAGTAGAGTTAAAGAATGTAATTGTGACATCTATAAAGCTGAAAGAGAAAAAGTTTTAGAGGCAGGGAGTGGAGTGGTTGGTATTCTGGGAACAAAAGGAGAGGGAATACGAGCTAGCAATGTTTACCTTTCTGAGGGAAACTGGGGTAGGAATAATAATTTAACATTAGGTCTGGAAAGATCATAGATTTATATTTTGTTTTTATGATTTATTTATTTTTTGGATTAAATCAGATATATACGTCCATGAGTTAAGAGATGGAATGATATGATTCACACTCATGTACAGTAGGTGGCGGTAATGCACCTTTAACGTTGTTTGCAATCCGCCAAAAACCGAGAGAAGAACATGTGCAGAACCGTTCGGGGAAGTACCATGGAGATGTATAATAAGAACGTATAATAATTCAGTATGATAGCTGTCTAACTTATGTTAGACAGCTATCATACTGAATAAATATTTAGTGTGAATGTATGCAAAAATGTATGGCATATAGCTGTCTAACAAGTTAAATCCATGTCTCACTTATTCTGACAATGTATTTAACCCCAAATAAAACAACCCAATAAAAAGAGTTGTTAAATAATAGTGAAGTCACGTTGTCATAACAATAACTCATCTCTCTCGGTTCTTTTTCTGCTTTGCCAAAAGCCACTGTGTCAAGTGTCCTATTAGAGTTGCCGTATGTAGTTGTCAAATATGGCGGACCATCTCGCATATGCGCACTGCAGATAGGGCAGGGCTGCAGATCAGGTAGTGACAGTGTCATGCAGGGGAATTCCGGATTTCAGTACTAGTAGGCCATCTGTTACATTTATATTTTTTGCTTTTGTTTGTAAAACGTAATTTCAATATGAGATAGATAGTCATGCGTTACGATGCTTGCAGTGTTGTCTTCGGTGAGTAGAAAGATACTGACATATTTGAGCTAGACGGATCAATAACCCATACACAAAACGTTAAAAAAACATTTACATTTATTTTTTTTACATTTATTTAATGTTTTTTGTTGATTTATTTATTTATTTTTACTGCTTTTTATTCATTCTACCGTGTTGTGTACTGTTTTTATTTTTACTCCATGCTAAATGCTTGTAGCACTTCGGGATCTGAACTCAGATATGTGCGTTATAAATTAAACCCATTATTATTATTATTATTATTATTATTATTATTATTATTAACAACGTTACTTTCCAACCAGAGCAACAACGAGCTGGCCGGGTCATTCCAGAATTGGAGGACATTTCTTGTCCCCCATATAAAAAATCTAATAATCCATGCCCAAAAAGCTAAGACATGCACTTGTTGTGTTAAATATACTTGTCTTGAGACAAGATGCATATAAAGTTGTAGAAAAAGTGGTTTCAAAATATTATTTAAAATATCAAATAGCTCTCGAACACCCCCTAAAATTGCCCTTTTCTCTTGTCCCAGCTTCTTGGTGACCAACTTGCATGTCAAATATAACATTTAAAATAGGGTTTTTATTTACTTTTGTTGGTATTATTCTATTGATATATGTGTCTTGTAATGGTAAAATCAATTTGTTAAATCATAAACACATTTTAAATAACGGTCATTTTGCACAGAAGGTGTGTCCCTCAACATGTGCGCAACCCTGTTACCCAAACCTTTTTAGCTTGGCAGAGGAAGTGAAAAAACTGTTTAAAAGGACATCAGCAAGCCATGTGCTGCTACCATGGGTAGACCAAAACTAAGTCCTCTCTTTTATTTGTAATATATTTCCAATCTTGTCACTCTTGAAGGAGTGTGGCACTCATACAAACGCAACCCTGTTACTCAAATTATGAGACTAAAACAAATTAATTTCAAATGTATCTTTCTTTAGTTAAATATCTAAGTGTATCCATTCCTTGACAATAGCATTACATTGTGCAGCTAGCATTAATTCCTGAGGTAAAAGCTAAAATTAGCATTGATTTTCAACCCTGTTACTTGCAACCCTGTTACTATAATTAGAGTAAGAGGGTTAATTCTTCATTGGAAAATATACATTTGATGCCTTAGCTGGGCAAATCACTTTTTTTGATGGTTTATTATCTGTTTTTCCTAAATACATAACAAAAAATAATAAAATGAAAGGTTCATTTTTCAAAAATGTTGGTGTCTAAATTGTCCTCCAATTCTGGAATGACTTTTATCGAAATAAGTACATTTACTCAAGTACTGTACTTCAGTAGAATTTTGAGGTAGGCTACTTGTACTTTACCCGTACAGTAGCCTACTTCATTTTGTAGCTAATTTGTACTTCTACCCCAATACAATTCAGAGGTAAATTGTGTTTTTTTCACTCCACCAGTAGCGAGCCGTCAGGGCCCTATTGGTATATATACAAAATAATTTTTTTTAAATATTTTTCATTAGTTTTACCAAAATAACTTGATTTAATTGTATTTAACTGAATGAGAGAGTAATGTCAAGTGACAGTACAATTGACCAATCATATCTTCCCTCTAAATGGGTGGGTTTTATCCATATACAGTCTATGGTTTTATCATAGATATATATATAAACACTTTTTTTTAATACGCCTTTATCTATGGGTTTTATTATCGCGGACGATATCGAAGTTCCGCCCGGTGTGAAGCTTTTCTTGTTTCCATAGCAACAACAACTTCCTGTCAACACCAGGTCAACACACCCAAACCTTCTTCTATTTTTTTCTTCCGGTTGTATGGCGGGTGGCCGCCACCTACCGTATTGGAGTGTGGACCAGAATTATGTATCCAAAAAAAGAGAAGAAAGACAAATAAAATGTTAAATTCTCATTTATTAATTCAGTTCGTCTTAGATAATATAAAAGTCTCCCTGACCAAATGTCTAATATCTTTGAGTGTTGGCTGTTCCACTCCAAGCTTCCTGATTTCTGTCTTTTATAGTTTGTCTTGCTTGCCTGTATCTGTAATACAGAATAACATGTTCTACCGTTTCTTCGACCTGGCAATGTTCACATAATCCATATGGATGTTTTCCTAAATGTAATGTTTTGTTCAGTCTTGTATGTCCTAATCTTAGTCTTGTTAATACATTTTCTTCCTTGGTGCTTATTTTGACTGTCCTGCCTTTGTTGATTTTTTACACCCAATCCCGTGACAAAACCAACCTTAAATACCTGTGCCATAGGGAATCGTACTGCGGCACCCTCTGGCACAAACAGTGAATAACACCCAATTGTGACAGCTTAAAACCCAAACATGAACTCTCATTAAAATGGCTCTTACAATAGTAGTTAGTCAATGTGGCGCACATTTCAATAAAAGACGGTGGAGTTTACTAATGCCGTACTGTATTATACCATATCATATATCACAGGTGTGTGTGTGTGTGTGCATGTATATATATATATATATATATATATATATATATATATGGGATACATTGCAAAGTGGCACATCACTTTTATGTGAATGTACACAGCGCAGACTCATACTACAATGAACTGCTGTTTCTCAACAGTGTCTATGATCCTGGTGGCTTCAGGCTACTGTCTTTCTAAGGAATATTCTACAAGAGCTGGGCTATGTTGTCCGATGTGCATGATAGGTAAGGTAATATATGTAACAAGTATTCAAACATCAGAAGTAAGTAAGAGCATTTTAAAATATGAATTTAACTGGGATTTCCGAAGCTGAAGTTGGCTTTGCTCCCTGAAGTGCTCCATCAGAGACCTGAAACGGGATAAACTTATTGTTACTGACTCTAATCTTCATTTTGTAATTGTTTTTTGCCTTCATGTCTTGATGTTGAGATGCTGACAGAGTGTTTGTGTGTTGAACAGGGGCCGTTGTACAGATAGACTGCACGTCAGATTCAGGCACACTCTGCAGCGGCTGCGAGAACGGGACTTTTATGAACAAATCCAATTTCCGGCATAAATGTTTCACATGCACCTCCTGTGACTCAGGTATGTCTTTAATGTGTTATTATGATCATGTCTTTGTAATCTTTTATGACAGTAACAGTGGATATCTTGGTGTCTTGACTTTGTCAACTTTGATGGATGCATTTCTCACTTTGCTATGGCACTGTACAAAACAGGTAATCAATTAAGATTAAGATTAACATCACTTTATTAATCCCTGAGGGGAAATTCAGTTAAAGGATTTGATCAGTCTTGATAATGGAAATATTCCTAAATTGCAACACTGGTGTAGATTTAATAATCACCCCAAATATGTATTAACTAATAAATCGACCAGAGGCCAACTGTGTTCCAAACGTAAACATATGTGCATATAAACATCTATGTAAGCATATGTTTATCTCTGAGTAAATGAGGGAAATGCATAACATCAGGTCAGATCTGCTTCAGGTTCTTCACATGTGGAGAGGGGCGATGGAAGTAGGGGGGGGGGATGTGGGATGTGTTAAAGTAGATTAAGAAGAAGCTGCTGCATTGGTTATGCAAGGGTGAAGAGATTTCTACAGTGTTACATTAAAAGTCATATTCAATATAGACCAATAATAATAAATGTAGACTTCATCTAAATATTTTTTTCTAAAACTCCAAGTCCATTGAACGCATCATTATTTTCTGATAAACTGTCGCTCGATGACAAATGATTGGACTGAAATATAACAGGCTATTTAACTTTTTTGTAAGTGCATTTAATAAGACGTCTATTATATTCCATCCACAATTCTCTTATTTCCTGCTTTAACATTTCATTAAACATTTTTTTATATATATATATATATATCAACATTTTGATATAACATGTTGATATATATATCAATATTTTTTTAAATGAAGTCAAGATGTGTGAGTTGAATTTTAAATATTTTTTAGGTTTGCATACATTGACTGTTTCAATCTGTTTGTTTCTTTAGGCCACGATCTCTTTGTCCTGCAGGAATGTTCAGAAACAACTGACACTCTGTGAAGTTATAGATGGGTATTTCTGCAAATATTTAGATGTGACAGGATGCAGTGCGGCACAAAAACATGCACAATGTGTACCTGGTGAGAAGATAAAAGAACCTGGTAAGTAAAATGCAGGTCACACTCTCCTGACAGTTTACATGCACACTGAAGTCCTGGTCTGAGGCTTATCCTGGATTTACTCATGGGGTGGCTCAGTCTGTAGGGACTTGGCTTGAGAAGCCAAAGGGTCGCCGGTGTATATTGGGTGTGTGTGTTCATAAACTAACACCAGTGCAATACTAAACTTCCCCTCAGGGGTTACTCAAAGTTGATCTTGATGTAAATCTTAATTTTTACATTACACAAAGTATCAGATAATAATTACATAGAATACATCACTTTTGATCAGACTTTTTACTGGACTATAACCCGAGGTGCAGAAGCTCACATGACAGGCAGTAAACAGGAACCCCTCCTAGTTTCTTTATGAGTCCTGCAGCTATCACCTGAGGGTTTCTGAAACAGATATGATGACCTCCTCGTACGTTTCAGTAACCATCCTGAAAGATAACCCTTAAATTACTCTCATCTTAAAATTATGACTGGAGATGTATTGTATTCATTTCCTGAATGAACTTTCAGACGGTGAGGACTGATCTCCAGCAGTGTGAATGTAAAAACACTAAATGAAGACACTGATGTGATGATGGATCATTACTGGATGTTGGCTGCTGTGTGACTAATCTCTCCTGTGTGCCTGTCTCTAAGGAACCAGCAGAATGGATGTACAGTGTGAACCCTGTCAGTCTGGCTTCTTTTCAGAGCATGGTGTGAATTGCACGGACTGGAGAACGTAAGGCTTTGTTTTTTATGGCATTACTAAAACAAGTAGGGCTCTTCCTGCCCTGCAACATGAAATGACCACTTTGTTTCTGCAATAATATCTCCAAAAAAGTGGTGATTTGTGGCTTTATTTGTATGTGTGATGGACGAATCTTTCCCATCCACAGG